GTCTGCACTGGGCTACTGCTGGTAACAGAATGCCGGCCGCATGGTCTCATTAACTTTATAAGCTCGGGGACAGGGGAAGGGGAGGGGATAGGTGAGTTACCAACCAGGTAAAGGGGGCAGGGTCTCAAGGGAGGATGACACTTAGACAGGCCAATGACCCCCAGGCCTGAGGAGCATCCTTTGAAATCGACGAATCACACGACGCCTTGCTGGTATGTTAGCCTGATTGACAGGGCACACTCAGCAAGGGGTGAGGGGGAAGGGAGAAGGGATAGGTACACATGGGAAGGGCCCCGGAAGTTTAAAACCGGACATTGCAACACACCACAACAGATATGATATGTAAACACATGTCTCTATAAATAATAATGGCATTTAAAACCCATAACTATGCTGTAATAAAATGAAACAATAGCAGCTGTTATAAAGCTTTATAAAGCTTTTACAAAGCTTTTAATTTTCTGGAACATCAGAAGTTAGAAATTAAAACAGGAGAAGTTACCCAGAATTTAATTACTGGAGGAAACACAAACAAAATACAGTTTGAACAGTGATCAAGTATCTCTGAGGGATACTCTCACCAGAGCCACTGGGACTGTGAGCTTTCTGAGCTTTCTTAAAAACTTCAAAAGCATCTGTACAGGACCCAGTGCAAAAGAACTTGCCTCTGACAAATCTTAAGTACATGGGTCAAAGGGTCATGGATTCAGTAAGCTGATCACTATGTGATTTTTTTTTTAGTCCAGCCTGTGCCATTTGACTGGTGACTGAATATGAGTAGTTTTTATCAACAAGTAATTTTTTGTGTCATAAGGTCATCTTTTCAAAATCTCCCAAGAACTGTAGAGATACAAATAAAACTGTCTTATGACAAATACTAAGCCACAACTCCCTATCACTGTGTCAAAGCACTTTACTTGAAAAAAACTTCTGAGGTGATGCAACAAGTGACAATAAATTAAAATAAGTGGCTTTGGATCACTGTGGTTTTGTTTGAAAATGGGAAATGGAAACATACTCAGCTAGTACTCTTCTTTCTAAGTATTTCTCAGGCATTAAGAGAGTATCAGCAAAGGCATCCTAGTGTGGAGCTAAATGATCTCCACTCTCTTTTCAATTTTCAGCTTCATCTAAAAATAAAGAGTGAGAAAAAAGAGCAGCCAAAGCATGTATTTTCATATTGTACAGTTATGCCTTATTAAAGGACAGGTTATGTTGAAACTGTCACTTTGGTTTCTCTCGGTAGAGTCACATACAGCATTGAGGCTGACACAACCTGAGGCAGTCATTTAATGACTGACAGTCTCTGTCTCCTCTATGCAGATACTTTCTGCTTTACTGCTACTTTTCTTTAAAGAAGTGAGAAAAGAGCATGCCAATGGCTGGCATTTTTCACAAATGTAAACTTTCCTCCTTTATATTCTTTTCAGAGGATGATGCACTTGGCTGCTCCTGGAAAATTCATGAATCATGGTTTCCAAGGTCTTTGTCATGGTCCCTATTGTAACAAAAGTTAGATGGACAATTGGAAATAATTTATGTAAAGGATTTAACCACTTTTTCTGTTTTAGAAGTTGACTTCTAGACAACTGTGAGAATTACGAATTTGCTCGTTCTCCACTGCTGCTTAACTCTTGAGGTGAGTGAACAATAGTCTGAAGGTGGCTTAGTATTCCTTCTTGTAGGAATATTATTAAACCTGGGTGCAATAATAAACCTTAGTGCAAATGTTCCTTGTTGTAGTCTTTGTCCCCTGACTGCTCTGCCCAGGCAGCTGTTGCCAACCTGGGTGTGCAGCACTACATGCGTGTGAGCACACTGTCCCAGCTGATCACTTCACAATATACACTAACAAATAAACTCTGTGATTTCGTGGGTGTTAATTCAAACTTTAGAGATTACAAAAGCTCCTGGATGGCCCTTCACTGTTCCAGGGAAAGAATGAGTAAGAACAATGGAAAAAGAAAGCTACTAAAGAGAGCATGTTGAAAAATTTCAGTATTCCCTTCTCTTCCTTTGCACAAGGAATATCCTTATATTGGCCATGTGCATATCCAGGCCTAAAAATAGCTGAAGTCTTTCCTGACTGAGAGGAAGAAGGGTATAAACCATATGTATTGGCTGTCCAATAGACTTACAGCTACATGTGAATATACTTGTGTGGTCCTGGCTGTGACTGATGTCATGGTGTGTCTGTACAGATGCTTGCCAGGTACACTGGAAACAAATCCATTCCGTGCTGTACTAATAGCACTATCCTTCCTGCACAGAGCCCTGGCCAGCTTTGAGAGCTTGGAAGAGGTTTTTAAGGGAAGTCTATTGATGATTTCAGTGAATAAGTCATGTGCACACTACAAAGCTATTTATTTATGAATAATGTACATAATGTCCTTTTCACCCTTATATAATAGGAGCAGTATTTGAAAGCTGGCTTTTGTTCTGAGACTTCTTTCCAGCTACTTTACTACCCAAAAGCTTCCTCCCTTGATTTTTTCTCAGGAATATGTCCCAAGTATTTTCTATTTGGCTTTTTGGATTATTCTACCTAGATGATCTCTGGATGCTGTCTCTGGATGCTGTCCTACCTCCACCACCTTTATTCTGCCTTGTCTTCTGGAGACAACCTACAAAAAGTTAATGTAGTCACAGAGCAGTGGATGGTTTGGCCATGTCTCCTCCATGTTCCGTGGCCAATTAGGGTATAGGCTCCTGTATTTAATCCATTTTACTTACAAAAGTATGCTTAATTACATTTTTTTCTTCCCTGAATAAAATTTTGTTCCCTTCACTTTCAAGATTTCATCCAATTTGTGCCTTAACAAGAAAGAAAAGGAAATAATAAAAGCTGAAATACTTCCCCAAACATGAATTTTCTCTCTGTGATGATGAAGGGTACAGTTTTCATGGGGATACCACTAACACAGCTTAGTGTTAAACTGTACCAACATTGGCATAGTGATGCCATAAAACTAAATCAAACTAAATCAAATAGAAACACATTTGGGATTGTTAGATAAGATGAAAAAGAAGACAAGATAGCAGTGGATCACCAAATACAGATACAGAGGATTTTGCCATTCCAGAGAACTTGACAGAACTGTGTACCTGTGGGTAGAGAGTTTCAGGTTTGGTTCAATCAGTTGGTTTTGTCTGTTTTTAGTGTACGATGAGATGCTGCTGGTGATAGAACTGCTGCCCAAATGCTAGTTTTTCTACCACCTGTTTCAGATTAAATAGGAGAGATTTTTTTAGTAGTAAATATAGAAATTAGTGGCAGTTTCGCATATAAGCTGGGCTGCAATGCTACTGTTGAGCACTTCTGTTTTTGGAATATCTTTTCAAATTAAAATTTTCATATGAAAAGGATTTGTCTGTTTCTTTTACTCATTTTAGAAGACAGATTTTACTCCGAATTTATCCATCTATCCATCTGTCTGTCTGTCTGTCTATCTATCATCTAACTAATCTGGGTCTTTCCATCCCAGAGAAAATAATACTGTTGAACTATTCATTAAAAAGGGTGTTTGGTTCTAGCTGTGGATAAAAATTGATACTTTAAAAAATGTTTTTACATTTCCCACATCAAAAGGATGCATGCATCTACTGCCCATATCTAATATTTCCCAAATATTATATTTTGAAACATATTTTGTTTCCTTCCATGTTTTTCCTACACATATTTTAATAAGTTTTGCTACACAATTTTGTGTTGTACCCTTGCTATCCCTCTTATCATAAAGTTTACAATGCATATCAGTATTTTGAACTCCACCCAGTAAAGCAGACCAAGCAATTACAGAGTAACAAAAAAACCAACCCTGGAAATGAACCAAAATATACTTCCTCTGAAACTGAAGAGCCTAAGGCAAGCAGAGTGTAAAGAGGTTTAATTTGCTCTCACATTCCTCTGTGAGAAATAAGACCAGACAAGAATTGCGCACAAATATATAAAGTCCTGAAATTCCAGAAAAATAAATTTGATTCCTACCACTATCCAGAAGCTCTCTCTGAGAGTGTTTCTCTGTCCTTTTATTGTGCTGGACTAGTTGCAATCCCCAGTAAAGGAACTCAGTCAGGATTGACAACAGTTTTTCTGTACTTTACTGATACTTGCTGTGATGTTTAAGATATTTTTTCTTACAGTCCAAATCAGGAAATATAATGTTTCCATTTATAAGTTACTTTTTTTTCTTAGAAAACCTTAAGCAGGGAAAAGTTTGACTGGTGAGGTGATAGGGTCCGTCTTGGCTTGGTGCACTTCTAACTGTGTTAAAAAGAAAGACTACAGATACAGAGGGATTGAGTGCACCCTCAGCAGATTTGCAGAAGACACCAAGCTGTGGTGCAGTGACACTCCTGAAGGACGGGATGCCATCCAGAGGGACCTGGACAAGCTGGAGAAGTGGCCCATGGGAATCTCATGAGGTTTAACAAGACCAAGTGCAAGGTGCTGCACCTGGGTCAGGGCAAGCCCCAGCATCAACACAGGCTGGGATGAGCAGATCCAGAGCAGCCCTGCTGAGAAGGATTTGGGGGTGTGAGGGGGTGAGAGGCTGGACATGGCCCAGCCATGTGCCCTCACAGCCTGGAGAGCCAAACGTGCCCTGGGCTGCATCAGAGGCAGCGTGGGGAGGGGATTCTGCCCCTCTGCTCTGCCCTGCTGAGACCCCACTGCAGGGCTGCATCAGCTCTGGGGTCCCAGCACAGGAAGGACATGGAGCTGTGGGAGTGAGACCAGAGGAGCCCACCAACATGATCAGAGGGATGGAGCAGCTCTGTTACGAGGAAAGGCTGAGAGAATTGGGATTGTTCAGCTGAAAAAGAGAAGGCTTCAGGGGGACCTAATGTAGCCTTCCAGTACCCAGGGAGACCCAAGAAAGATGGAGAAAAAAACTATTTACTAGGGCAGGTAGTGACAGTACATCGGGAAATGGCTTCAAGCTGAAAGAGAGTAGATTTATGTTAGATATTAGGAAAAAATTCTTTATTGTGAGGGTGGTGAGGCACTGGAAAAGGTTACCCAGTGAAATTGCGGATGTCCCATTCCTGAAGTTGTTCAAGGCCATGTTGGATGTGGCTCTGAGCAACCTGGTCTAGTGAAAGATGTTTGGAATGAGATGATCTTGAAGGTCCTTCCCAATCCAAAGCATTCTATAATTCCATGATTCTGTGATTCTATGATGACTTTGTGCTGGTATGGTCAGCCTTAGAAAACTGGTATGATGTTTATTAGACCTTTGGCTCATACTAAAAAAAAACCCAATAAAACAAAAAAAAAAAGGAAAAAAAAAATCAACAAAACAACAATAACCAAAAAATCAGACAAAAAATGAAGAAGTGAAAAAGGAAAATCTGCTGGGACAGGGCAGAATAGTGAAGGCATACATGATAATAAGTAATTTAAGCTTTCCTTATCTGGGCTTTACCCTCTCATGGCCAGGATAGCTGCAATGCTGTAACATATAGGGATGCAATAAGTCCATATATCTCATCTAGATTCATTCATTTATCTGTCTAGCTTTGATACCTTGTAATATTTTTATCCTCTAAGTACTCACACGTCTCTTTTTTCCCCCAGTATGTTCCTGAATAAAGCATGTACTGTTACTTTTGGTACTAAGAGATTAGCCAGTGCAGAAAAAAGTGAACTCCCTTGGCATATGTTTATTTCATTTCTAAGTTTGTGCATTCTATAAATTATTCAGAGAAAAGATATTAGTGGATCAACAACAGCTCTGGTTCATCAGGTCATATTAACAATCTTGGACCATTACATTGGTGGGGTGCCAAAGCACAATGCAGAGAGTGAATTCACAATGCATATTTCAGAATAATCCCTCTATACACAGTGTCAAGGTCCATTTGTGAGATATTACTATAAAATATAATTGTCAGTGCAGCCCCATCCTGAGAGTCAGGGATGAAATCTGGGACCTTTTTTAAATGCATGATTTTCCTGTCATGCCTCCTCTTACAGCTCTGAAGATGATTGCAATCAGGAGCTACACATAGGCAGCCATTTTATGTATTATCTGTTCACTTCCCCCATGCTTTCAAAGTGCTCCAGGATGATTTTTGCTGAAGATTTTCCAATCACCTTTTTCTTCCTTTTACTGGTCTGTGTAGAAAATATCTATAATGGGGTGCAATTGAGAGATTCTGATTGTCCCTCCATTCAGTTGCCTAGGAAACAGACTTGTGGATATCCAGCTTTTCCCTTCATTACTGAAGATGCCATTTACAGTTGATTTCCTCCTATGTCTTCTTTGCTGTGTATACTGCTGAAAAGGAAGGGACACAATAATCCTTGTTCTATTGTTTGGTTTGATGTTTTAAGGTGCTATTTGTTTGCAGAATATTCAGGTTATAAAGTCTGATTGCATTGTTCATGATGGATAGCCATGCCATGGGCAATACAGATGGCTGAAGATACCACATAATAAACTCCTTTTTTTTTTTTTTTCTTTAACCTCTTACTTGTTGGTAGTCAAATATAAATCTGGGTAGATTCCCTCAAATACTCAAATATAGTTATGCCTGTAAAATATTATCATTGTGTTAATTATTTTATAGATGTATAACTGAGAGCAGACTTGTTTCCTTTCACTCACTTTAATGTCTTCTT